CTGCAGCAACAGTATGTGGGTGGGGTTGTTGTTATGCATGCATGCGTACTTCTGGCTCTGCTGCAGCAACAGTATGTGGGTGGGGTTGTTGTTATGCATGCATGCGTACTTGTGGCTCTGCTGCAGCAACTGTATGTGGGTGGGGTTGTTGTTGTGCATGCATGCGTACTTGTGGCTCTGCTGCAGCAACTATATGTGGGTGGGGTTGTTGTAGTATGCATGCATGCAATTCTTTATGCTGCAGCAGCAGCAGCAGCTGCTGCTGCTGCTGCTGGCGGTATCACTTCTCTGTTGCAGGTCGGCCGCTATGGAGATGCTCTCTGCTACTTCGAGCGCCTGCAGCAAAACCTCCTTTTCCTCGCCATGCTGGCAGACCAGCACGTTAGTCTGCTGCTGCTGCTGCTGCTGCTGCTGCTGCTGCTGCTGCTGCTGTTGGTGTTGTTGTTGCTTCTACTGTTGCTGCTGGAGGAGTTGTTACTTGTCGCTGCTGCTGCATGCGGTTTACTTTTCCCAACCTGTTGTCCGGGCTTGCGTCGCGAATGCATGCTCGCATGCATGTCTCGCCCTCTGCATGCATGCATGCATGCATGCATGCATGCATGCAGTTGGAGTCGTATCGGGGAATATGGGTTTGAGTCTTTGTTTAGGTTGGGGGCACAATGCCTGTAGTGTGCGCTCGCTGGCGCCTACTATCTGGCTGCTGCTGCAACAACGCATGCATGCATGCATGCATGCATGCATTTGTAGCAACTGCAGCTGCAGCTGCATCCCCGCATCTCTGCATGCGTGTGCACTGTGCATACAGCGCGGGGGCTTGAGTGAAGGGTCAATGGAGGAGCAGCAGCAGGCCTTCTATGGCAACCGGGATTTCTGGAGCCACGAGGAGCTGCAGCGCCTCCACCACGCGCTGCGTACGCCGGGGCAAGGTGAGGTGCAGCTGCAGCAGCAACAGCAGCAGCAGCAGCAGCAGCAGCAGCAGCAACTCAGATCCGTTTCTGAGCGCCTTAAGGCCAGCCGGCTGCTGCTCCTACCCTCTTGCTTCTTAGCTGCCCGTGATTCGTATCGCTTGCTGCAGCAGCGGGAACGATATTTTGTTCGGTTGTAGTTGTTGCTGCTGCTGCTGCTGCTGCTGCTGCTGCTGCTGCTGCTGCTTCAGATCTGCAGCAACTTGCTGCTGCTGTAGGCAGCAAGAACTCCGCGCAGATCCTCTCTTACTTGTCACATGCAGCAGACCGCCACATGATGCACCGAGCAGCAGCCGGGCCGGCTGGCAGTGCTGCAGCAGCAGCAGCAGCAGCTGCTGCTGCTGCGGCTTCTGGCTTCGGGACGACGGCTGCTGGCAACTCTGCTGCAGCAGCTGCTGCTGCACCGGCTTCTCTTCCTTCAGGCGGTATGTATTGAGTACTATGCTCTAAACCGATACTTAGCATCTGCAGCAACAGCAGCAGCAGTAGCAGCAGCAGTAGCAGCAGCAGTAGCAGCAACTGCTGGAGTTGCAGCTGTAGTGTTTCGCCTTCGCTGCTGCTTCGGCATATGTGGGTGGAGATGCTGTCTGGTTTGTTTTTTGTTTTTTTGGGTTTATTTATATAACAGCGTAGATGTGATGCAGCACGAGAGATAGATTTTCTTTTGCTGCCAGTTGCTGCTGCAGGGACAGGAGCAGCAAACGCTGCAGCAAGAGCGACGCATGCGACACAGGAAACTCAAAAACAAGAGGATAAGCAGCAGCAGCAGCAGCAGCAGCAACTGCAACCGCAGCAGCAAGTGCAACCGCAGCAGCAGCAGCAACCGCAGACGCAGCAACAGCAGACCCAGCCACAGGTCATGCAGCAGCAACAGCAACCGCAGCAGAAACAGCAGATTCAGCAGCAGCAGATGCAAATACCGCAGCAGCAACATCAGCAGCAAATGCAGCAGCAGCAACAAATGCAGCAGCAGCAGCAGCACCAGCTGCAGCACCAGCAGCAGCTCCAGCAACAGCAAATACCAAAGATAATGCATCAGCCAGCTCCGCAGCAGTTTCAGCTACCGCAGCAACAGCAGCAGCAGCAGCAGCAGCAGCAGCAGCAGCAGCAGCAGCCTGGCACAGGGGCTACAGGGGCTCCAAGCCTTCAAGCTGTGCAGCCGAATGCACTAATAGGGGCACCTCT